CCAGCCCTGCCCCGCGCACCCTTACGGTTTATTCTTCATTCAGGTTTCAGCAATGCGTCGAGATTCCCCCCGGTGATAGGCGCTATAAATAAGCGGTCAGCAGTGGTCTTTGGGTTAAAACACGACCGAATGGCTTGTCTTCTGTGAGGAATGAGTTTTTGTTTGTTTGTTTTGTTTTTGAAGCTTTTCTTTGAGGAGGCTGTTGGAATGGACCTGTTGGTACTAGTTATTTTCAATTCTTTTGTGATTTAGGCATAGAAGATATTAGTTATGGGTCCCCCACTATGTTCTTCCAAACGGAACTGGAAGACCGTAGGACTGAAAAGAGGGAAGGTGGCTCATCACTCGTGGATACCCCACATTTAATTTCTGGATCTTTCCAGCGCGCTTGTAAAAGCTCTCCTTTCAAACCGGGCAAATGCGCTTCCCACCTGTGCAGCCACCCCGCTCTCCTCCGCACTTGGGCTGCCTCTCGTGGTGAGCACGGTGGATAAGTGGGACCTGCTAGCATCTGATAGAGACCAAGAGCGCTTTGGCCAAGCTAAGGTCTTAAGAAATTGGCTAGTGGATGAAGATGCTACAGATCTTTAACCTGTAGTCTAGAGGGAATGGGTTTAAAACCTTTGTGAGCTCTGTGTATTCAGAGTCAGTGCTGTGCCCGGAGGTCACTGGCTCACGTGAAGGAAGGAGAATTGAAGTCAGGAGGGATGGTTGGGCAAGAGCTGATAGGGATGGGGCCTCCCTGCACGGAGGAGAGGTAGAAGGCCACAGGAGGTGGTCTGATGCAGTGTAAGTGATGTTGCTCCTGTGAGAAGGGGCAGCAACCATGGTGATGCAATGCTTCCTGAAGACCCTTGTCAGTAGCCTGGTGGTCCCCCATCAGCTGCTTTCGCATTGCCTTGTGGTTGTCCTCCATGTCTCCTCCCAGTAGAAATTAAAATCTCTTTTTCATCCCTAGGCAAAGCCAGTTGCCAGACTCTCCACCAGACTCTGGATCGGAACCGTGTTCTCCACCACAGCTCCAGAGTAGGTCACATGAATTCAGTCTCTCCCAAGCTCATAGAAAGGTCTCCAGCTCCTCTTCCTTGTCCTTACTCTTGTCTGTTTACTTGCAGCCACACGGTATGATGCTACGTGGCCCAATGGGTTGCAGCCTCGGCTGCCATGCCCATCTGGTGTGGCACTCAGCAAGCTTCCCTGCAGGTTCATGGAGACTTACTCTGACCCCAATGCCAGTGGGCATCCTTGCACCGTCCCCCAAGACTGCTGCCTGAAGACAGAAAATGCTGTGACTCCTTGGAATCATTCTATGTCCTCCAGCTGTTTGGGTGTTAATTATTCATACTTTCAGCCAAACGCATCCCAGGTTTCTGGGTAAATGATAAAGCTTTTATGCAAAGGATGAGGCAGATACAAATAGAAGTAGAGCTGGTAGAAGACATGGTTTGATTGGTGTAATATCCCAGTGGGTGTAGGTTTTTCCACAGGATGGCAGTGTTTAGACATTTTTGATACACTGGTGTTCTTTAAGCATCTTGATTGGACTTCAGATTGGGGGTAGGAATGGATTTCAATTTTTAAAACATTAGAAGGCTAAGGTGGGATCTGCAGGTGCTTCGTAACTGGATTATAAAAACATTGAGGCATTTTGCAATACCTGTTGTAGGGATTTGTCAGTAAGGATCTTGTAAGTGTTCTGACAAGTGGCATGAGAGAAAATAAAAAGTATTGTCATGTCTACGTAAGCAAGTGAAATCGTATTCATGTACCATCTGCCATATTCACCTACCACCGTGTTGTGGATTCCTAATTATTTAAAGTACACTGGCTAGTGCAAGCATCCAGCCATGATACCTAGTAAGAATGAATGGACTGATGCATGCCAGAGGGTGACTTCCCTGGTTATGGGGAGAGAAACGTGAACTCACCAGTGTTAGTCCTGGGCTTGCAGATGTTCTGTCTCCTCTTCTGTACAGAGCTCAATTACGTGTTGCACGTGATGTGGTGGAAGGAAGCTGGGCCTGGGTTTCTCAGAGAAGCAATTTGTGCTTGTTTTCCAGTAGAAGATGCCAGTTAGTCAAAATCACATTATTTTGTGAGGGAACACTTTAGTTATTGGAACGTAGGACACAAAATACTTCTTAACCGAGTGTGGAACTTTTGAACAAACTCAGAAAAAGAATAATAATGTGGTGGGCAGGTTTTTCTTCTGCTCATGGAGAAACCTTAGTTTGAGTACCTACTGGGCCTGACCGAGGCCTGGAGTTCGGCTTGTTTTTCCCCCGTCTAGAAGGAGTGACCACCTGTCAGGGTATTCTAGCTTACATTTTATAATATCAAAACTTTGGAATAAGATTTTTTCCCTTTGCACATAGGAGCATTTTTTGAAATATCACTTTCTGGGAGAGGAGAAAACTTGTTACCCATCAGCTGCCCCTTGAGATCTCTTCATCAGCGCATTAGTTTAAGTGCCACTAGTGTTTTCTGTATAAGAAGGAAAGTGAGTTCACGCTTGGTGGAGTACAATTATTTGAGATAAAGCTGTGATTTTAATGCAAATGTCAAGAGGCAGTAAAACTGTGTGTAAATTTTTAAAAAGAAATCAACTTCTCTATTCGTTATGAAATAAAAAAATAAACTAATTATTGTTTTGGAGGGAAAAAATGCATAATTCAGTTTTAAAAAGCCAACAGCAATCTCCTCCACCTGGCAAATCAGAGTTTGGGTTATATTACGATTAGAATGAGATACCTGGGTATTGTCTTGCTACGATTCTGTAATCTCTGTATTTATACTTCTAAATGAGTAATGCAACGTGTATTTTTTAAAAAGTATTTCTGCAGCGTCAGGCAAAAAAAGGAAACTCTCACAGTTACTGGGAGATGCCACTGATTCTCCAGTCCGATCTCAGGACTCCAGACAAGGTAAGCAACTGTGTGAAGATGAAAAGTAATGTTTTATACCATAGGCAAATAAATATTTTAAGAGCACAGCTCCTGCTGGCTCTATTAATGGTCTGTACTCCACTACCAGGTTTGGAGGAATTTACCTTTTCAGTGTTTTTGAAAACAGGACCCAGTTATACTTGTCAAAGAGAGAAGAAGTGGAGAGGTTAATGTTTCCTGAAGACTCTCAGGACAAAATACTCTGCCCTTCTCCATGTGTGAGCCTGCAGTACACAGATGATACCATACTCTGCTGACTTTGCTTGGCGCTAAATTGACTGGGCAAAGAAACCATCTTGGGTCAGCTTAACAGGGAATTAATGTGGTGGATGAGCAAACAGATTGCGGTTTCCCTTTATCATCTCAACTCCATACTTTTTGTACAAAGCATATCCGTGCTCAAGCTTAGTAAAAGCTGTGTGTTCTTCCCCACCCCTTACCCAAATTAATTTGGTTCATTGTGCTATCAAGATAAAAATGCTAAGCTTATACCAATTGATAACAAAAAAGCTTATCAGGCATGTACAGAAATGGATCAGCTTCTGTGAAGTGTGAGGCTCGCTGTGAATGAACAGTTTGTAATGAACGGTATAACTGAGGAATTTCACCCTTGTTTGTTAGTGGAAAATCTGAGAGTTTCTTGTTATTTCTTCAAAGTTATTTTTAAGTATTAAATCAATCTTTTAGAACACTTTTAATGAGTAGCAACTGGATTTAGTAGGTTACTTATCCTTTGGTATCTTTTATTTGATCAGTGTTGCTTGATTGTGACTAGTCCTCTAAGTCTACCACTGCTGGAAAGAGAAGATGAGCAGATGCTTCTGTATCTAAAATTGCTATTGCTGTTTTTCATACTTAAAGATGCAGCTTTGAAATACACTTTCCTTGGGAGTCACTGTTAATAAACACATGCTATTGGAAAAAGAACACATTTTTGTAAAAATGGCATGGGGATCATTTAGAAATGAGGTGTGAATTTCTTTACCGTGGGGTTGTTTTTATATTTTCACTCTGCTGTGTCTCAGAAGTGGGGAATTGCAAATGAAGCTTGGGCCTGAAATTATTCTGTAGGCTCTGTCTTACTGTGCTGCCACTGACTGTGGATGGATCTTGGCTTATATGCTCAGTGACATATTTTCTCCTGTCCTTACTGCACTCCATTTGTCTGTCTCTCTTACCACATGCTCCTCTGTCTTCATAAAATGTATGATGTCTCAGGGACTTATGGTTGACCCGGTCTATCTCAGAATGCTATAATGGGTGGTCGGAAAGCATTAAGCAGTCAACCAGATGTGTGGTGAATGTGCTTGCTATTGGAAAACTGTGCCTCCTGCTCTGGAACAAAGTACCTGTTGCAGTGGGTTGGAGTATATTCAGTTTAAACCTGTAGTAGAGAGAATGGGAAACGTGTACCTATTTAGCTTAATTGCTTCTTGCAGTGTTGCAGAGTTGTTAAAGTAAAATGCTTATCTTTCCTTCCCCTGCCCTGCCCCAAAGGAAACTATCCATCCTTTTGGAGAGAATAAAAATAGGAAGTGCTACTTGTGTAATATTTTGCAAATCAGGAAAGCTGAAAATTTTATTTTTTAGGGCAAGGGAATATAAATGCAACCTTTTGGAATAACTACAAAGGACAATCAGATTTAAATATCCATGCAATGTATTTGTGCTTTATATGTGTGTATATATATGTAAATACATTTATAAAAATGTTTATGCAAGATTTTTCACTAGTCAAAAAAGTAATAACTGAATTGTCACTATCTCTCTACAGCAACTGTTAAGGACTGTGCTGCTGAAGTGCAAGAATATGACAGTGATGGACAGAATGCAGCTTTGGAAAAATGCTGTCAAGCTCTAACATGGCAACCATATCAAACTTCTCAGTGGAACAGCTTATTTAACTCCAATTATGAAAAACTGTAAGCACTGATGTTTGCACTTGGAAAAAGTGGTTTATTGTGGGTTTTTTTTTGCTGGTGTTGTGGTTTTGTGGGAATAAATGATACATTTGGCATCCCTTGTTCTTACTGAAAATAAGACTGGAGAAGGAGGTATGGCAGGCATGATGAAATATGAACCTGCAGATATATCAGATAAGCATAACTTTAAACATTGCTTGAAATTCATGCCAGGTTTTGGGATTTCCCTTTAGGGATTTAGAGGCAAAAGAAAAATGGGTTTAATGTAAAATAACTGTTAATTTTTGTTTCTTTTGTCAAGCACATTGGGGCAAGTAATTACTGAGCGTATAGCACCTTTCCCTCTAATCACCTAAAATATTGAAGAAAAATGGAAATAGAAGACACCTGTATTACTTCTGGGCTTGTATAACCTAAGTCTTGATAACTATAGACATATATAAATGATGTGCAACTGTTTAGTCAAAGATTTTGAGTTCTCCTGTATAAATCAGAACAGTAAATAATTTTTTTGCCACATGATCGGGCAAAGGTCATTCAAAGTTCACTTTACATCCCTAGTTTTCTCCAGTCTAGTATTTAGTGAAGGATCCCTTTTAAGAAAAGCCCTTCTGCAGTGCCTGGTTTATTCCCTAGGTTTGGTGCAAACAATTTGTCACTGTCTCCACAGGACTTAAGTGGCGTGGGAGCCCAAACTGCTAAAAGCACCCGTGGGAGTTTGGAGTCTATCAGTGTCATTACTATACACTGACGTTCCCTGTTTGTGCACAGCGTGATAGGGGCAATACACATCTTCTGTCCCACACAACCCTTCTCCTAAGGAGAGCAGACAGTTCAGCATCCACACCTTTCTGTTCCTTCCAGCCCTGTTTGTGATGTGAGTTGTCACTGAATGGAAGTGGCTTCCAACTCCTGTTACGCTTTCAGCAAACGGCTACATGAGAGCTGTGAGTGGATGGTGCAAGACTGCTCTCCTGCTGCTACCCAGTTACTTGTTGGTTCCCATATGCTTAAAATTTAAGTTCCAGACTCACATTTCGTGGTGGCTTGTGTCAACAAAGACAATGTGGTGCTGAGATTTAAAGCATCCAAATACATGTACTGTTACTGTTACTGTGAAGGGGGATTGAGATGTTATTTGCAGAGGAAGTCAGTGTTACTTTTAAGTGAGGTCAATGGCAGTGCCTTTGTTTCAAAGTGCAGTGTAATTACGGCACAGTGGACATATTTTCTGAGTAGTGATCCTGTATTCTGTTAGGTTCAGGAGAGTCATGTGCTTATCACTGCTCAGTGTAGATGGATTGATCTTGTACCTTGAAATTGCTGTGCCCACTTTAAGGACATTTCTCAGGCTATTATTTTCCATTTTATTCATCTGATATTTTAACCTTTTGATTATTTAATTGTCACAGCAAAATGTTGTTAGCTGAGGTAGATTTGTTAGCAAAGGTTAGTTTTACCATTAATTGTGCCCTGCATTGTGTCTGCTGGGCACATTTTTAGTGCCATGTCCCGTTACTGTTGTGATTGGAAGGACTCTGTTCCAAAGATGTTGTCTGAAGTGTCAAATTCTGCATAGAAAGAGGAATTTGAAGTATATTTCTAGTAGGGATGCTTGTGTGACAGGGATCTCCCTTGCTATCTGAAAGTCTTTAAGTTTTACTGTACTGCTTGGTAAGACTGACCATCCTTTGTGCTATCAGATCAAAATATGTATTTGCACTTAATTACTGTAAGTGGCGTACTCAGAAAATAATAAACATGAAATTCCTCTTTGGGAGTCATTGTTTCAAACAATTCAACTTGGAGAAATGGAAATTTGTACCTTTGCTTCTCAGTCTGCTTGCTTGTGTAAGCAAGTACTCTGAAATTGCTTTAAGAATATTAGCTAATAAATTTGCTTCACACCAAAATCTGAAAATGACTCCTTTCCCT